AGGAGGCGCTCTGGCTGTGGTGTGTAGGAGGGAGGAGGCGCTCTGGCTGTGGTGTGTGGAAAGGAGGGGGCGCTCTGGCTGTGGTGTATAGAAAGGAGGGGGTGCTCTGGTTGTGGTGTGTGGGAGGAAGGGGGCGCTCTGGCTGTGGTGTGTGGAAAGGAGGGGTGCTCTGGCTGTGGTGTGTGGGAGGAGGGGACACTCTCACAGAGCTCACTGTTCATGTTTAGTATTTAGCAGCCTCTTCCCTGATCTTCCAGTATCCCTCTCCTCTTTCACTCTCATTCCCCATCCCCAAACATTCTCTTCCTTTATTTTCCTGAGATATGAAGGGAGTGTCTCAGAGTTGCTTAAAAATGACATAAATTTTAATAGTCATCATTATGTAATATACCACTATGGAAACAAAATGTTGACATTAATTTTTGGCAAGCCAATGACTTTAGAACAATTTTAGAAATGTCAAGTGTGAAAAAAAGTGAGACTTCTCCATCCCTAATTCACCACAAACAAACTTTATGAAAGTGTTCAAAATCACACCATTCATTTAGAAATTGTAGATGTGGTTATTAACATAAAATAACTACTTTTCAAAGACACACTGAGATTTGACTTTGCCACAGAGAACCACAAAGATGAGTTTTGTACAACTCTAACTCTAGACCGACCTGATGGCTGACAGAGATGCTTTGCTATTCTGGGTAAAACAAAATCTCAAGTGGCCACACTTAAGTTGGCTCACCGGCAGCAGTGTTTGCCACTAAGCTTGATGAGCTGAGTTCAATTCCCAGGATCTGCAGGATAGAAGGAGAGAACCAACTTTCACAACTGTCCCCTGATCTCCGTAAGAGTGCTGTGGCCAGTATGCCCACACACATCACACACCAAACAAACAAACAAAATCTTCATTAAAAATAATTTTAAAGCTTAACTTTTACTTATAAAACATAAATTTTATGAAACTATTCATCTACAAAGCATACACAGTAGGAATAAATAGGATTTAAAAGTTGTCATGATTGTTTCTGTAAGCTATTTTTATTTGTTCTTTTGATAAAACACTTGTTTTCTGTACTCTTAAAAGGCAGCTAAAAAAAAAGTGCCAAAGTAACGGCACCCTTGTCTTCCATGGAGAAGAAACACTGCAAAGGCATGTGCACATGTTCAAGCGACATGCATGGCACATTCATGTGCTCTTCTGGCCAGAGGTGATGTCCAGCGAATTCGAGGAAGGTTCTAGTCTTCTGCATAGCTTGTGTGATGCTGTGGCCAGTTAGTTGGCACTGTACTTGTCAGTAAGAGTCGAATTCCAGAAACACACAATGCAGATCAATTTTTTATTTCAAAATGCAGCTAAACTTTGACATGCAAACAGAACTAGACTCACATGAAAAAAATAACCCTTGATTTAGTGGTATTTCATTTTTTAATACAAGAGAGGCTAACATAAAATATTCATAGGGAATAGCAATATGAATGCCTCTCATAGCCAATGCTTTAACAGGAGGCTATGAAGAAACAAGCACATGTCAGAAAGAGAAATTCGGCTTGTGAAAGCACAGTGAAGTCAAAGAGCAGATCAATAAACGGGAAACAGAGTGGGAGTCACAGTCAGAGAGGTACCAAGTAGATCAAGTACAAACTGACAGCTACGGCTGTTTTCACTTTTCTTTCTAAGGTCACAGGAATCAACCATTCCAAAGAATAAGGAATACAAGCAAATGTGTAAAAACAGCCAAAAGATCTGGCAGGGATGCAGAATGTGGGGGCAGGGTGTCTTTCTATTAATAGAAGCTCCTAAGACAATCCTGCTTCCTTAAACGCAGTGTCTGGATCTCACAGAAGGGGGAGCTGCTGAGTCTGGGGACACTGGCCTCTCCTTGCATCTGTCAAGGAACATACATATAAAGCATGTAAATATTATAATCATGTCCTGTGTTAATCACTCCCATTAAAAGTTAGAAGAAAAGATGTGAATTCCTCCCATTATTAACCTAGAATAAATTCTGCTTTCTACAGACAGTAGATGAGTATTACTTCAAATGGAAAGTCTTGCCAGAATTTGGTTAGGCACTGGGCCTATTTAACCATAGGAAATGCTAAAACCAACAACCCATCTACAGTCTCGAAGTTGCTGAAGGGTTCTTTTTGTAAGATTTGTGATTACAGTGTTTAAGAGGTTATCTCTCTAACCTCTAATTGTTTCTTTCCTTCCTCCCTCCTTCCTTTCTTTTTTACTTTTGAGGTAGGACCTTACTATGTAGCCCAGGTTGGCCTTGAACTCAGGATCTTTCAGCCTCGAACTTCTGAGTGCTAAGGATAAATAAGAGCAGGCACTACCATATTGATTCAATCCAACTCTTATAAAGAATTCAGGTTGTAACAAAAGGCAGGCGGGCCTCTACTCTTCACAACAATATCTTCCTGCCTACAAAGTTATATGAAATCCTCTAAGTTGGTCATCAAAGGCACCTAGGAGCCAATCTTTGATGTATAGTTTAGGCTCTTGTGTTAGAATCGCTGGACTGACTAATTTTATTTTGTACCTGTAGTGAGGCAGAGAAAGAACTACATAAATAGGAGCTATCTCTGCTACTGTTACACAAGTACTATTTTATAGTCTTACTGCTGACTGACTACCTACTACAAGCATCTATCACAAATAATACAGTTAGAAGAGTCTACAAGAAGCCAAGCTGGCAAGTGTACCACCACAGGCAGTAATGATCAAAGGAACACTGTAATTCCATGAATATAACCATCTGGCCGAAATGGTGGTAATATGAATGAGGTGGCATCTACTGGATACCAGTTTCCTTTTTTTAAAATGTCAAGATGGCAGACAAGACACAAAAGCAAAGTCCTGTTGATTTATATCTCAGGAGAAGGCTTCAGTCACAATACTAGTGGCAGCCATGCTGGCAAATACATCATGCATGGCAGGTTTGCAGAAGCAAAGCACACCACAGTGAAGTTGAGAGTGAGGACGTGTTCAGGGTAAGAGGCACACGGTGGATGAGTCCTCAGACTATGGTATCACATCAAACCTGTAAGCTAGGTACGGTGCCTCACACTTGCAACCCCAGCACTGCAGAGGCGGAAGAAGGGGACTACTAAGACTGGGTGGGTTAAAGTGAGATTCTATCTCAAAAAACAAACCAATAAAATAGCACAACACAGGAGGCAAGATGAAGAAGCAGTGTTCATCAGTGCTGTTGAAATTATGGCAACAGAAACTATTAAGTGAACTTTCAGGCAGAAGACAGCAGACCTGCCTGTGCTCCTACCTGCTCACACCACAGAAGCTCGTTTCCTAGCAGCAACAGCATCAAGCCTGCCCAGTAAAGGCGTCTATAGCCGGGCTAAGGAAACACAGCTACACCAGGAAACCTATCCCTGAGGTATGACCATACTGTATCGATTCTGGTGCTCTGTTAGTTCATAAAAAAGAACTGTACCTATCTAATGAGACTAGTACGCTCTTGCTGACGTTGTTTACTTATAATAACAAAACCAAGATTTCCAAACTTGTACACATCCAACTACTCAGTGTTTACAATAAGTCATACCATAGAAAAGATTTGGTTCTAAAACACACACACACACACACACACACACACACACACACACACTCTTCCTCTGTCAGACAGTAGGAGCACTCTTTCTAAATGTTGCAGAGCTAAGAAGGACGTGTTAGTTTACAGCTTTCGACAAAACAAGATGCAAAATCCCAGGGAAAAACTAAAAGCTCTCTGGAAAGCAATTTCATCTTTGGTAAAGCAGAGAAGCTAAATTTCAACATTCAGCCAAAAAATAATTATGCCTTAGATTTCTAGTCCAATTTCAATTAGCTTTTGATAACCTTAGTATTAAGTGTTAAATAAATTCATTACCTGTTATAAGGATATATAATTTTCAAACATATCTAATAAAAATTAACCCTGTCTATAGAAAGTAAAAGTTGAGCATTTTCAAATGACAACCTATTCTAATATCTTTAACAAGACACAGATAATTTAAAAATAATCATCAATGCAATGAAAATAAGTGACTTTCATATAAAAGTCAAAGTCTTACTCTAAGAACAGAGTTCCTCAGAGCAATTTTAAGTAGACAATCTGCTCATGCAATACACACTGGGAAATGCATCTAGATTTCTTATCACCAGGCCCTTAATTCTAGTAGTGTAAGCTCAGAATCCTAAAATGCTTTGGAAGGCAATTTTAGGGGCAGCGGGACAGGGAGGCATTGCACTCACACCATCCTGTCACTCTTTGTGAAAGAACACATAAAACCTCTACTATTGAGCAGGCATTTAGAATCTCCACCTTCCCCCTTTTCCCAGCACATGTACATGCTAAGGCTACAGTATCTTCTGGAGTAGTCCAAGACTGGCCAACACTGAAGCAGGCTTAGGGTGAAGCAAGCTCATGGATTTCCATAGGAGACCATAACCAACAAAATGTGCACAAACACTACAAAGACAGCCTATGTGATTTTTTAACCCTTGAAGTAAAAAATAAAAAAAAACCTTTAGTGAAAAGAAGCTATGCAAATTTCTTTTCATTCAACAAAGACACCCAAATCTAAAACACATACAAATTCAACTAAATTCAAATGCAAATTCTAAATGTCACAACAGTAAGCTTAAATATTTTTGTCTGGTCTACATCACTGCCAACACAGGACTTTGATAGAAGACAATTCTATATGCCTAGTTTCTTTCATCTTAGGTTTCAACACATGGCACTTTCCAAATGGTGAGAAAATAACTCAGTATTAGGCTTTCCTGACTAAATTATGACTTAGAACTTTAGAAATGGACAGCAAATCTCATTTACCTGGGAATTACAGCAGAAAGGCAATTTAACTGGCAAAGGAAAGAGAATTTACCCTGAGTAAGTCTCACTTCCTCTAAAAACAGACACAAAAATCCTTTTGCAACAAATCCCTTCCCTGATACAGTTAAATGCAAATTCTCTTTTCCTCTTACTCCAGAAAGCTCCTGCATGCATAGCTGACACGCCACCTACTGCAAAACCCAGCTGCCAGCGCAGGCGGTGCTGCCAGCATTTCATTGCATCGCCAGGCTGGGACGGAATAAAGGCGTGCTTGTGTGTGGTAGTGTTTCTTTTTTAAAAGGAAAGAAAAAAATCTCCAAGCCAAGAAGAACAAGCTGAAATAGCATCTTGAAAATGGAGCGTAAAATAATCAGAAGAGAAAAAGAAAGGGAGTATGAAGGGAGGCACAACAGCCTGGAAGACGCGGAGCAAGGCAAGAACTGCAAATCCACACTGATGACCCTCAACGTTGGTGGATATTTATACATTACTCAAAAGCAAACCCTGACCAAGTACCCAGACACTTTCCTTGAAGGTATCGTAAATGGGAAAATCCTCTGTCCTTTTGATGCTGATGGCCATTACTTCATAGACAGGGACGGGCTCCTCTTCAGGCATGTACTAAACTTCCTACGAAATGGAGAACTCCTATTGCCTGAAGGGTTTCGAGAAAATCAACTTCTTGCTCAAGAAGCAGAATTCTTCCAGCTCAAGGGGCTGGCAGAAGAAGTGAAATCCAGGTGGGAAAAAGAGCAGCTGACACCCCGAGAGACTACTTTCTTGGAAATAACAGACAACCACGATCGCTCTCAAGGACTGAGAATCTTCTGTAATGCTCCTGATTTCATATCAAAAATAAAATCTCGCATTGTCCTGGTGTCCAAAAGCAGGCTGGATGGGTTTCCGGAAGAGTTTTCTGTGTCATCAAACATCATCCAATTTAAATACTTCATCAAGTCTGAGAACGGCACTCGACTCGTACTAAAGGAAGACAACACCTTTGTCTGTACCTTGGAAACTCTTAAGTTTGAGGCCATAATGATGGCTTTAAAGTGTGGTTTTAGACTGCTGACCAGCCTGGACTGCTCCAAAGGGTCAATTGTTCACAGTGATGCACTTCATTTTATCAAGTAATTACCTGTCTCACGAACAAAGGCAACAAGCATGCAGCCAGCAAGCTTCGGAAGCCACAGAATCAAAGGCGTCCCAAACAATGTGCCCAGCTAGCTTGTCCCAGAGCCCGGCTGCTAATCAAGTACTGTGAGCTAACGGTATGTAAATCTATCAGTAAAGATGTCCTTCTCTGGGGTGTTCTGCCATCACACTTCTACCTACGGTGAAGCTGTGGTCCTTCTACACTGTAAATAAAGACAATGCTTTTGCTATTTATTTTTTTTTTCCCATAAGCTGTCTTTCAATGAGAATGTCTTGGATACTTGCACCTATCATTCACTATAGCAAATGTTAACAACATAAGGTTCAAAAATCCTTTCTACTTATAGCAAAAATCTACAAAGACGCTGAACTGGTAAAATAAACATGGAGAGCAAAATAAATGTACAAAGCTACTTAAGCAAAGTGACAGTGAATCAAAATGGGATTGTAAAACATATTTGAGCTAATAATGATTTGACTTTAAATAGCAGGCACCAAAACCTTTATTACAGTTCCTGTATTTCATACCAGAATTACGGATAAACTGATATTTTGCTGAAAATTCCTAGGAAACTAACTGCTTGATAACAATAAAAAATAAATAAAATCGCTGCTAGCTTCTTTGCTTGTATTAATGATTGTAATAAAAGTTACGTATGTCACTTTAAAAATAAATAGTGCTACTTGATGATTGTGCAGGATACTCTGCACCAAAGCAAGCAACTGTCGGGCTCTAGCACTTTACAGGTCCAGCAAGCAGCAGAAATTAACAACTGCACTCCCTGGCACACTGAGCTCCAGCACGGCATGGGTAGCTTGGTCCCAGCCGAGTACACGGTGTTAGAATGGAGGAATCCATTTCCACAATCACTCTATCTGCTCATTTTTCAAGCTCATTACACAACAACACTCTTACAAAACAACTTTACTGGTCCTTTAAAAATCTACTATGTAAAAAGTCCTTCAGAAACTCATACTAAATAAAACCCAACAAGGTCAACACCAACTACTGCCCAATTTCTGTTATATTAAAAAATCTATGCTAAAATCAAAGTCACAGAGTTGTGCTGATTTTTTCTATTTCATGCTAATTTTAAAGAAATTTTAAACCTTAGTTTATGAATGACTGTTTAAGGACCAATCCTTCAGCTGAACTCTGATGTGAGTGCACGCCTTGTCCACTCACTCTACAGAGCACCTTCATCACTCCTGTGGGTCCACTCCTATGGTGTCTAAGAATAAACTTTTAAATTTAAAATAAACAAGTTGGGAGTGGTGACTCATGCTTGAATCCCAGTAGTTGGGAAACTGAGGCAGGAGAATTACCACAAGTTTGAGGCCAGCCAGGGTTACTAGGTAAGATTCTCAAAAAAGACCAAGGAAAAAAAGAAAAAGAAAAAGAAAAAGAAAAAGGGGGTGGGAAAGCAATCATTAAAGTAACAACTATAATTCAGCCTTAATTATAACAAACCAACAAAAACTGCTGATTATCCTGGCTGAGCTCAAATAGTTAAGCATACATCCCAACATTTTGATTATTGATACAGTATAGAATAAAGCTCAATATTAATTTATCATTAGCAACTATAACTAACTTTGACTTACAAGATCTAAGATAATATTAAAGTTGCCTTACAGACTATAAAAGAAACCTTTTAAAAGATATTGTGGAAACAAAGTCCTTCAAAGATTCACACTAAAATACTCAATGTAAACTACACAATTTTCTCTGATGATACACTAAGGAAAAAATGTTTTTCTTAAAGTATCAAATTTTCTTAATGAACTATAAATGGCTTAATCAGGACATAAAGGGACTATTAAAACAGTAAAGGAGAAAAAAAGTCCAAAACTGTATGACTGGTTAGCGGTTGCTACTCAGCTGTTTTTTACCTCCTCAGAATATGAGCTGACTTTTCCTTGCCATTTGGATTGGTAATGAAAAAACTGGTAGTGATTTCATGTCTGAGTCAGGTTTTCTCTATTAAGATCTCACTCTAGATAATAAAGACACTGACATAATCTGTTATAGGAGATGCAGCTGAATAAATCTCAGAAATGCAAAGGCTTCCCATGACTTCACGAGAGAATTTAGCTTTCACAACGACGTTACTGCTGTTGTTATGAACCGCCAAAGGAATCAGGCGCATAGTTATGTAGCTCTTTAAATGAATATACAGAGCTGGAGTCAACTCCTCGAACTTTAAGGCATAACAGTAATTGCATCAATCAACAGTCTACAAGAGAACACGATGTACGCCTCTTTAGAAATGTACCTTTGCAAATCCAACAACTGTATTTACAGATCCAAGTGCTTAAATGTTGAACTATGGGTATACAAAGTATCTAGTTTTATATTTTAGTTTTCTAGTAACATTTACAAGGATCTTCACTCAAGGTATCTTAAAAATTTTGATGCCAAGAGCAAAGCTTCTCTGACAGTTCTGTTTCAGTGAATGTGTAATTTCTCTCTCAAAAGCAAAAGCTATACAGAACTGATTAGCATCTATGTCTTTTTAAAAAGGTGGTAAAGGGTGTTTACTGCAATTGCCAGGTCCCAAGCAAGCATTCTTCTATATTTGAAGCTAGCCCACATATTGATTCTAGCACCCAACTTCAAATTATGGTAAACAAAACTGGACTTACGGCTTTCTGCTGTGTTTAAAATGTGCCTGTGCAGCATGAAGAACAAACGAAACACAGGCTGACTGACTGTCCCAGCCTAAAGATGAAAATACCGAATAAACCTGTTCCCGCGTTTCTGGTGTAGTATTAAGCACCGCTTTTGAAGAACTACTAACAAAAAGGTAACATTCATTAAGTTCTTGCTGTCAGTCTTTTGTTTTGAGACAGGGATTTACCCTGTAGCCTAGGCTGGCCTCAAACTCTTGATGACCCTCCTGTATTAAGCTTGTTAGAGCTGGGTTACAGGTGTGAGTGACCAGGGTTGCCTTGAAGAATTTTAAAAGAAGGGTTAAGAATCTCATCCTACTTCACACAGTCATCAAGAACTGAGGTCCAGAGCCCAGGGTTAGTGGTTCCAGATGCAGCAGAGAACGCACAAGTGAACCAGGCCACTCAGGTTCCCAGGACCTAACCTAGAACCCGGCACAAAACAGATTTATGAACTCCATGTGAATATAAAATATCAGATACAGTCTGTCTTACTTGTACAAGTTCACAATACCAGTATTCTAAAAATGTTAAGTGAAATATTGAATTTTGCAATAGCATTTTTAATGTCATTTCACGTCGTTTAAAGAACGTGAGGTGAATCATCCATCTCACAAGACTAGAGAATATCCCAAATTTGTCTATTTATGAATCTGAATGTTTTACAGATCAGGTTTGCTGAAAAGGTTAGTCTTTTAGAACCCACATTAACTGTATTATGATAATATTTTTCATATATGAGAAAAATATGCTAAAATGAAATTCTCCTGAGTTCTAGAATCATACTGTATTAACTTCTACAAAGTAACGTTGGAGGACAGTAAGTCAACACTTAATTCTTTCAAACTTTTAATGTCCTCACAGTGAAGTTTCGACTGTGAGTTGTATAAACACCTCTACTTCACGGACTTCCAGGCAAAGCATTTATAATCTTAGCCAGTGCAGGAGTGTCTTCCTAATCACAAATATCAGCCACGGAGAGAAGGGTCATTAAGTTAGGTTTTCTATTCAGACATAAATAGAACACAGAACTATCAATGAACATATGCTTGCTTGCGCAAAGAAGTGAAATATTTTAAGACAAAAACATAGGAAAAAGAAACTTCATTTTATTATTAAAAACACACGATTCTTGGAAACAGAAGACTACGGAGTTGGAGGAAAGGGGTAATGGGGGGAAATGGGAGAGGAAGATGGGGCGGGGAGGCTAAGGTCAGGATATAAAAAAAATGAATTAAAATTTTTTTCTTTAGACTGACTTTCTATCCCTATATAAGTATCTTACTAGCATCTTTAAATTCGGTGGGAACAATGTAGATGATAAAGCAATCTAAAAGCTATGCCTATTTAATGAGTTATGAGTAAATACCTCACAACGGAAAGGTATTGATTGAGGTTAAAATTAGTGTCTGAGTCATATCACTGCTCGTAAGCAGAGATGTAACATGGACCATCCAAAACAGCTTGTAACTCAGAGAATGTGTGAACAGCTCCGAAACACATGACTTCTTCTATAGCTGGCTTCTTAATTATATTTTGTTTAAGCTACTATTAAAGTTCATTTGCTCTGTCAACAAACAGAAGGGGAGGTATTAAATAAGCACCTGCTGGCACAGATATATCTAAGATCTAACCTTACCTGAGATAATTTGTGAAGAGGTAACAACATTCATCTTTTCTTGACAAAAACACATAATTGGTTAAAGTGTTCCTATCAAGTAAGTCATTTAAATGTATCTTGCATACTATTATGTCATCTATATTTAACTAAACTCCTCTACCAAAGTTAAATATGTTTATCCTTGGCTTAGGATGACTCTGGTAGAGGGCTGGAGCCTAGCATAGGCAAGGCCCTGGGTTTGACCTCTAGCACTGGCCATAAGGTAGGTGTGTGCGTGTGTGTGTGTGTGTGTGTGTGTGTGTGTGTGAGTGTGAGAGAGAGAGAGAGAGAGAGAGAGAGAGACAGACAGACAGACAGACAGACTTAGGCATTATGTATGTGAAATACTGAATTAAGACATTAAAAAATTACTGAATTAAGACAAAAGCAAAAAAAGAAGTCTATTAGATACCAAAGAAGGAGGCAACTCTACTATATTCCTTTACAACACCATGACAGGCTTTTCCAAGTGCAGGACCCCAGCATCTGGTCACATCTCAAAACAGTTTTTAATAATTATCTACAAAGATCTACTTGATTTTTAGAAATTCCTTTTTGATGCTAGGCTCAACTTTACACAAGTAATTTTGATTAATCTCCTCTAGGACACTAAGCACAAATTCTTCTACACTGTGTGAAACTGAAAATGGGAAACTGAGCTAGCCTATTGATTTAGTCTTAATTATACCCCATTGATTTTACTTCCTTATAACAGATGTTCATTAACTCTTTTTTAAGAATTCTTAAGAAATGCTGAATAACTAATTTTAATCTCAATACTTCCTTAAATTTGAATCTTTTAAATTAAATCATCATTTAATTTAGTTTTACAAATAACTAAATTATTTTTGCATTCACTTTAGGTATACCATTTAATGAATTCTTAAAAATTAAGTATGACTGAAGATACTGTGATCTTACATTTTGATTTTTGTGTATTTTTCCATATACATGTGACTATTTTGAAACAAATTCTTATATTTTTAGTGGATAAAATATACATGGTATATGACACGGTGTTTTGAGCACCTTGAGTATGGGAGCACTGTGGAATGGCTAACAGAACTAATTAATGTATGCATTACCTCACCAATCTGTTTGCTGTGAAACATTTTAAAGTGCACATTATTAATTACAGTTAATATAGTAAACATAGTTGCAAAATAGTTTAAAAACAGTAGGGCTAGTTTATAAATCAGAAAAACACAACCACAGGAATTTATGACATATATGTGCCTATTATAATACAACCAGAAAACACCATGCTGAGATTAGTACATAAAATTCAGTTACTTTGAAAACTGAGGTACACTTAAAACGTCATCTTGGTCTCCGAGTATAAGACGGCCTGACTGTTGGCAGAATGTACATTAATGAGTAAGAAAA